AGAGGCTCACTCCTGCTTCCTGGGCCCTCGTTGAGAGAGAGAACAAATGAGTGCTGGGGCATGCTCTGCCCAGATGAGAGGGGACCAGGAAGCAGGTTCTGCTTTTCACACAAGCCAAGCCACCACAGCTTTGGGACTGGGAAGGCTGCTAACCTCCACATCACCCCCAAAGCACAGGGTTGGTAGCCACGTCCTCCCAAGGAGCCCACCTCTTCAATGGCAACATAGCCCAATCTCAGGAGGTTCGGAGTTCACCTCCTCAGATCCAAGAGGCTTCAGAGGCTGGACTTCCCTTTGCCTGTAATGAGCCCCTGACATCTCCAGGGCAAGCGCTAAGTATTTTTAGAACGACATTTTTGCAAAAGCTTGTTCTTATTCATTCGGAAACATTGAAATCTAATTTTCTGCCAAATGTTTTCTAGGTTTTCCTTCTAAATTGTTTGAGAACTGGTTTCAGTGCTCAATTTTCCTCCTTTAGTATGTAATTTTAGGACCCGGGGGAGGCAGTATCCTAGTGATTTATAACAATTAAGACTATGCCTTTTCTAAAGATTGATACAGCATCTAAGGGAAAAAGACACCGCAATAGAGAGGACCAACAACTCCCTTCCCAGTGCAGCCGGTGGGAGCAGAGGTTTTGCCCAGGGATGGGATGTGCTGTCCCCCTTCCCATACCCCCCTTCTGGTTCCCTGAGGGACTGGCTATGCTCTTCCCAGGGGGCTCGAGAAACAGCTAACTTTCCAAAGTCTAGGCTTCTGGTCCTACAATCTGAATCTGAAGGTGTGAATGGGAATCAGGGAACATCTGGGGCAACAGCGCAGACTAAGAACTGATGTACAAAGGTCTTCTCAAAGAACTGGTACCTGTGACCTCCCTCAGACCAGTCAGCTTAGAGAACCTGGCTGGAAGGATCTAGAAAGGGAGCTGCGGGTAGAGGGGGATACAGAACTCTGGCTGTTGGGCTGCACTTGGGCCACACAAAATCCAGTTGGTTCCACCTGATGGGTTCAGTTCATACTCTCTTGCTCTCTTCTGGGCTTGAACGACTTTATTACAAGTTATCTGACATTCGCAGGGCCTGTTGGTTAAGGATAGTCATTTCCACCAAACCTGGCAGTTACATTCTGGTTTTTAGCCTCTTTTATTGTCACCATCACATCTACATAGCAATGACAAGCTAGGCAGAGAAGTTGGTGACAATCTGGGGATGCTCTGGCTCCTATTTCCATGGGAATCACGCCTCTGAACAGACTCATCTGCACTTGTGGTAGGGTGTCATCACCCACAAAGCTGAGAAGCCAGAGCTCTTGGCTACTCTGGCACTAATGGCCTGTGGGATGTGGCATTTTTCAGTGTCCCCTGTGCCTTTTGGTACGGGAATACAGCACCACCAGAGGGGAACTGTACTAGAGCCTGGCTGTGGCTAAGTGTCCCCTGCTCACTGTACTGTCAAGGCCAGCAAGTCCAGCAGGGCTGAGCTGGGCATTCTTAGGAGCAGCTCAAGGACATACAGTATTCTGTCGGGAAGAGGTAGTAACTAACAACTAGAACAAGGGTAGGGAGACTGCATGGGACCTTAATGACCCAGTCCCAGGGTATTTGAAAGCTGTTGGTCAATTTCTGTATTCTTCACATATTCACTAAAAGATGCCCCCTCCCCCCCATCTTCATAGTATTCAAGTACAGACAAAATCTAGGTCGCACCCCAAAGCTGGGCTGGACACAGCTGGTGAGAATCCCGTGGCTTAAGGCTTTCCCTCCAACCTCCTGCCAACCTGACCCCAAGGCAGGGGCGGCATAGGAGCTGCAGGGCTCCCATCTGTCAGGGAGATAAACCAACAAGGCTGCCTGCTGAGAGGTGACTGACTCCAATGCCTTCATCTGGGGAAGAAGGGATGGGGAAGACAGGGAGAAATCGAGAGAAAACCCTTGGGAAACTCAGGCCACACTCGCGGTTTTGGAATAAACTCCAAGAAAAAGCAGCTGTGGCCTGATCAAAAGAAAACAACACTTGGAATGCTGTGTTCCCAACCACACATGCCCAGTCAGCCCCTGAACGAACTGTCACAGGCAATGGTGGCCTGGGAGCCCACATTCCTCTTCCCAGGACCAGATGGTACCCGACCACTGGGGAGGCTACTCCTGACCTGGAATCTAGGAGCCTCATTTCACTGGGCTACGCAAAATGCATCAAAACTCGACTAAAACAAAAATCTTCTCTGTGACAACCTGGATGGATGCCACGTTCATGTAGATAAGTGTCCTTTGGGGGTGCCAGGAAGGCGAGGCCACTGTGGGGTCAGGAGCCTTTTGTCCTTGGAGGAAGAGGGATTCCAAAGGACTTGCTCCCTCCTCTGGCCCCCTTCCCATCCTGGGAAGAGTCAGAAGTGAAGCTGGGAGGGTTAACAGCAGAGTGGCCGGAAGGGGTCGGGCAGAGGGGAATCTGGTTGCAGGACTTGCTTTTACAGCATAAGGAAATGAATACAGATATGCTAGAAAGTCCAACTATGACTCTACAAACAGAATGGGGCAAACTCCCTCGCTTCTAAACATTCCAGAAGAGACAAACACAGTTTTTTCTTAAGCTACTGAATGGGAACTGTCAATGGGGGTTCCTGATCACTAATGACTGGCAAGGAGGTGCTAGACAGTTTCTATGATGTTTCACTCCTTCATGATTACACCATAGTAAGGAAGCCAGGGGACAGTAACTGAAATACACAAGACAACACGCACTTGACAGTTCATGGCAGCAGCTCACATGGGATGTGCCTGTGGGTGTTTCTGGAAGCATAAGACTGCTGTCTCATTTGCTACTTTGATAAGGTACTTCTCAGTTGGACAGATTTAGATATAAGAGACATCTCTGTAAACACAGAAAAGGATATACCAATATGATGAAGATATGCAGCTAGATAAGGACTTCCTGAACAGAGGTTCAAAAGATGGGATCCCAAATTAAAAGTGGTAATTAAAAACCCACAGCAAGCCCAAGCCTCTAAACTCCTGTACCACACTTATGGACCAGAGAGTGACATGGGTGCTGTACTGGCCCCATTTAGTCTCCAGGAGCTTCCCTTAGGAAAGGAGGAGCAGAAGAGGAACTGGAGGCCTAGGTGCTGGTCCCCGTTTAGGTCTCAGGAGTTTGGCAGTTGCCCTGCCACACTACACTAGCCACCAGCCTTCTGAGTGAGGCCGAGGTCAGAGGCATGGAGCCTCTGGTGGGCCACTCAATGACTCCGGTAGGCCACAGGGGGCCCTCTGTGCTTCCTCAGCTATTTTTCTAGAGCAGAAGGGTAAAAAGGCCTGTTGTTCAGGGTCTGAAAGGCCTTTTGCTTTTTTTCTTACCAGGGAAGAGGAGGCTACCTAGGAGAACAAGATCTTGAGCTCCTGCTCTTCACAGAGGGCCAGATCAGACTTGGCGGAGCACAAGGCTGCGCCAGGGTTCAGAACAGGGTGGGGCTAGGGCTGGTAGAGGGAAGGCAAAGAGCAGGGAGGGCTCTAGGGGCTGGAGCTGCCAAGTATTGGCTCAGGGTTTGGCTGGGCACTGCAAGCTGCCTGGAACAGAAGGGATGAACTAAGAAGAAGGGAGAGAAAGGAAAGGATGAAATGAAAGAAGGTAGAGATGGAAGGAGGGAAGAGAAACCAGTCAGGAAGTCCTTATAAAATTGCAGCAAACACTTAGAGTTTCGGAGCTTCGTGGGAACCCTATGTGCTGAGCCCACTTTAAAACAAGCGCAGGTATATACAGATCCAGGTAGTTCTGAATGCCGTCACATCTGGTGGCTCTCAGAGCATCTGTTTGTTTTGAAGTGGGAACATGAAGACTCAATAGTGCAAATAACCCTAAGCTGTCCCTAAAGGGGTTGAATTGGGAAGTAACTGGAAGAAGTCTCCTCTCCACCCCCTGGCCACCACACTGGCCACTAGGTCCCTAATTGCCAGTCACAGGCTGCTTGGAATGACTAGAATTCCCTCTTACCCCACTGCTAGCCAGCCTCCCTGTACTGCCTCCTGCTGCCTCGGGGCTGTTCTTTAGCGCCTCCCACTGGAGGACGTTCCTGGAGAATAGGCAATGCCACCTTACACACTGGGCCACCCTCTCCTGTGGCTCAGGCCAGTCTACACCCAGCAGTTCAAGGGATGACTCCCTCCTAGGCATGCCAGAGCTGGAGCAAGCAGGTGCCACTTGCCTGTCCTGTGGGTACTGCCTCCTGCTGCCTCGGGGCTGTTCTTTAGCGCCTCCCACTGGAGGACGTTCCTGGAGAATAGGCAATGCCACCTTACACACTGGGCCACCCTCTCCTGTGGCTCAGGCCAGTCTACACCCAGCAGTTCAAGGGATGACTCCCTCCTAGGCATGCCAGAGCTGGAGCAAGCAGGTGCCACTTGCCTGTCCTGTGGAATATCCTTGTTGGTTTTGGATTGGGGCTGGCGTGAGGCTGGACTTGTGCCGCCACGATCGGGATTGCATGGGCCACAGCCACTAGCCATCTCTATTGGTTGTCTTTTCTAAAGAACTCAACGGTCT